CGTGGGCCGGTCTCCGTGTCCCGGCCGGGGCGGGGCGCGGCGGTGGCGGCGGCGCCCGGGCCGCTTCCCCATTCTCCCCATTCGGGCGCGAGAGCCATGGAGGCGCTGAGGGAGTCCGTGCTGCACTTGGCCTTGCAGATGTCGACCTACAAGCGGGCCACGCTGGACGAGGAGGACCTGGTGGACTCGCTCTCGGAGGGCGACGTGTACCCCAACGGCCTGCAGGTAGGAGCCACGGTCCCCCCTCTCCCCCATACAGGCCAAGCCGGGCATGCGCGCCGGGGCCGCCCCCGCCCCCCTCCCGCCAGCCCCGGAGGGGGCCCGTGCCAGCCGGCGGCTGGGGCAGCTCTGCGGGAAGAAGTCTTTCTGGGGCAGAAGTGCCCCTGAGGTGCTGGCCTCCCCTCGCCAGCTCTGCCCGTCCCCCAATCCTCCTGACCACTTGTTAATGGGGCTACAGCCTAGGTGGCGGAGTTGAAGCACCCTGCAGAGCCGAACCGGTCCGGTTCCCTTTCCGCAGAAGGGGCAGTCCCTGAGTGCTGAGGGACTTGTGCAGAGTCACACAGCCCATTACTGGCAGAGTCTAAAACAGTCCCAGTTTCAGCTTGGAAAGCCCTACACCCTGGAACCCCATCAGTCCTGGGCAGACCAGCATGATTGCTCACACTCTTTGGTAGGCGTTACCCCATTCTTCCTCTTTCCCCCCAAAACCTCAATTTCATGGGGGGAGGAACCCATCCTCTGCCCCCTCTTCACCTGTCCCTCTTCAGCCTACTCTGAAGTCCCTCTTCTACCCTCAGACCCTACTTCCCTGGGGTCTGCCCCATGGGACTCAAATATGCCCACTACCTCCTTGCCTTGTGGCAGAGCAGTGAGCATGGCTGAGCTGGGATGGTCCTGACCAGGACCTTAGCCCTGGTGGGGTTTGGACCCAGGCAGGTGGGCAGGAGTGGATTAGAAATATCAACAATGCCCAAGGGGAGCCTGTGATCTGGCTCCTGAGAAACCAGCGTGGAGAGAGGAGCCGGGCATCTCAGTCCAGGAGGACTTCTGCCAGGTTGACCAAGGGAGGCGCTGGGGAGGGTCTTAGGGCTGCCCAGTGAACTGACACCAAATCACAAACTCATCCGGAGGGCAAGCTTAGGGTGTGTGGAAAATCTGGCTGCCAGGCCCAACCCTATTCAGGCACACCTCTTGGAAGCTGTAATAATAGGACTAATAAAGGGAAACAGCATTGATGGAGTCTCTCCTCCAGGCTAGTTAAATAGGCCCAGGGAGATCCCAACTCATGACCCCAAGTGGTCTGCCCCCTGGGGTGTGGCACCCTTACATGCATCATCCCACTTACCCTTCAGGACCACCCCCATGAGCTGTAAGGATTACTGTTCCCATTTACAGATGAAGAAACTGAGGCTCTGAAAGGGAAGACAACTCACCTTAGGTCACAGAGCTAGAAACCTGGGAGTGAGAAATCAAAGCCAGTCTTCTAGAACCTCTTTTCTGTAGACCCTTCTTAAGAGGCTAAATCCAGCAGGAAATTAGATTTCTGTGGCAGGCGTTTTTCCCTTCACAAATCAAAACAGAATCTAATCAGCAATCTTTTTCAGTTTCATCTTCCACAGAAGGTTCTAAATATATCAGCACAAAAGCATTTCGGATTTCACAGTGAAATAATATGCCGTGTTGTTATCATCATAACAACACCCCACATGGATATAGCCTTTTTCAGGTCACAAAAGCCGTTCATCTGCCTGGCCTCATGGAGGCAGCCCAGTCTCTGAAGCCAGGGGCCCAAATTTGAATTCTGACTCCACTCATGATCTTGGGCGAGCTGCTTAATCTGTCTAGACCACAATTCCCTCATCTGTAAAATGGGAGTTAGAGAAAGCAGATGTAATGCATATTACAGGGCCTGCTAAGGTAGTTGTTTTGATGACCTATGAGGTAAGGGCTCCTGTGGCTGTCTTACAGATGATGACGCTGAGTCTCAGAGATGTTAGGGGTATTCCCGTGGTCACAGAGCTATCGTGTGGGTTGGAGTGCAGTGTTGGTACCCCTATACCAAACTGGGTATATTGTCCACTTTTTATGCATGAAAAGCCAAAAAGGTTGCCCCAAGGATTTGGGACATTTCCGTGGTTACCCAGCCGGGCTTGCCTTGAGCCTCCATGACTTCCCGAAAGCAAACATGAACTAGCCAATGCTTGTTCTTCTAAGAGTCGAGAACCCATTCACCTTAACTTACGAAGCAGAGTTTTCAACTATTTGTACATCATTGGGGTTTTTTTCCTGATATAAAAACTTTACATGCTCATTTGTGGGGGAAAAAAATAACAGTCATGTATAAAAAAAGATTTAAAAAGAAATAGTAATCTCATCCCTCAGTGATAACCACTTCTCGTTTTTCACACTTGTATGTGTATATTTTTCAGCATAGGTGAGCTCATTCTAAGTACACAATGTTGTGTCCTGCCTTTTTAATTTAATACCATTTCATAAACATTTTGCTATGTTGTTAAAAACTTCCAAAACATGCTGCCATTAAAAATCATAACACCTCACGGTACTGATATATAAAAATGTGTTTACTCAATCTGCTATAGCTGGTCTCACTAACAGTAAAACTATGGGTCACCATCTTTTAGCCTTTTGGGTAATTTTCTTTGAGCTAATTGCTAGAAACATAACTGCTCGCTCAATTTTAGGCTTTTTAAAGTGGACCCAGTCCCCCAAATCTTCCTCTCTTGACCGGCAGCTGTAAAAATAAGCTACTTGATTTTTCAGGATTCTGAAGCCCATTGGTTCTAGGAACTGCAGAGTTATCGATACCAATACTAATACCATCATGTGCCGTCTAACGACTTTTCTATCAACAAGGGACTGCATATATGACGGTGGTCCCATAATATTAGTACCATAGAGCCTAGGTGTGTAGTCGGCTATACCATCTAGGTGTGTGTAAGTACACTCTATGATGTTCACACAGTGACAAAATCACCTAACACATTTCTCAGAACATGTCCCTGTCGTTAAGTGGCGCATGACTGTAAATGAAAATTTCCATGTTTCAGCCAAACTTGCCACCTTTGTTACTGAATATCCTGACGAGGTGTTGAATTTAGCTGGAGGAAAGTTCTGCCGGCACCTCACCTGAAAGTGTTTTTCTTTTCCTTTTTCTTATGTTTTAGGCCCAAGTTAATTGTGATCCACTAAAATTAGTCACTGTGGACTGAGTGCAGAATTTAAAGCCAGAGAACCCTAACGCAGAGCCCAAGCTTTGCGTCCCATGGGCTGTGAGATCTGAAAGCAATCACATAAATAGCTTTATTTGTAAAATAGAGTTAAAGTTATTAATTCACCTCCCAGAACTGTTGCAAAGATTCAAATGAGACAATGTAAGAGAAAGCATTTTGTATAGTGCACAGAAAATCAGGATTATTACTGAAACTCACCAGGCATGATATCTCAATAATGCCCTAAATGTAATAATTTTCCTCTTGGAGGCCTCTGCTCAGACTGGCTGCCTGGGCTCCCCACACCCCAGCACACACCATTTCAGTGGCTCAAAGGGAAATAGCTAAAGTTACACCTGCAGCCTAACCTGGGGAGCAGACAGCCATAACTGTTTACCAAAACTTTTGAAACTCATCTGGTTACTTCTAAAAATCCATTTTTTCAAGAAAAAGGAAAGTTGAGATATTTAATTCTTAGCGGTGGTTTTCTCATTTTTTTTCCGTGCCACGTGGAGGGGTGTCTTTCAAGGGTGATTTCGGGGACAGTCCCACTCAGTACTTTAAAAGGCCTCTCTGCTTACCAGGACGTCTTTTGAACTCTGTCCACCTGTTAGAGCCTTATACTCTGGGCCTTAGAGTTGTTCTAGAGTCTGAGAGGGTCAGACCTGGGACCTCATCCAGCTTCCGCCCAGCGGCTGCCCAGCCACGCACAGTGGAGTCTTGAATAAATCAGGCTGGCCTTTGACTTCCAGGTTTGTGCCCATTCCCTCATGCCCTCAGCAGCTGGGGGTTCCTCTGGGAAGCAGAGAGAACCAGAAAGTACTTCTAAATGCTAGACTTCCATTCCTGTTTAAATGCAAGGAGTCCCCTCCCCCACAACAGGTACCACCTTAAACTGTTGTCAGTCACTGGAAGAGAGTCAGGCAGGAAGCAGGGGGCAGGTAGGGCTCGGGGAAGAGATGGGGAAGACACGAGGACATTATAGTTTTGCTCTGGGCTGGCCCCAGTGGCCTCAGCCAGAAGTCCACCATATGGAAACTTTACTGGAAGAAACTTCCCCGACCTAACACCCTCACAGAGGCAGCGTGCCATGCTGGGCTGAGCTGTCATGGTCTGTCAGCTCTGAAAGGCTGACTCCAAGGCAGGCAGCCTAGTCGCCCTGCCAGCCCTGACAGAGGGGCCACAGCGGGTGGGCTCCCTGCCGGACCCTTGGCCAGACTGACTCCTGTTTGCTGCTCACAAAGCCCAGGTCGCTGGGGGACCTGGCAGTGGCTCAAGAAGAGCCTCTGCCTTCCCTCCCACCCCCTGCTTCCTCTGAAAACCAGGCTCCCCACCCCTTCTGCTGCTGGCTTGTCTCCTGGGCCCCAGGTGGCGGTGTCCCGTCCTTGCCTGCAGAACTCGTTCTTGCTGTATGCCTAGGTGAGCAGGACTCACTTCTGTAACCAAATATTTATCCCTCATTAGGGCTTTGTTCCCTTGGCTGTGGAAACCCTGGGAACTCCTGGGCTGGACAGCTCACCTGTTTCTCTCTCTCTCTTTCTGTTTCTCTGGCTCTATCTCTTTCCTTCCCTGTCTCCCTCTCCACCTCTCTCTTTTGAGGGCATCCCTTTCTTTCTGTCTCATTCTCTGTTTGCCTTACCTGACAACAAATAGAATATTAAGCCCACCAGTGAGCTGAGCATTTACAGTAATTCTCATCTCCGTCTTCCAAGTGTCAGCTCATCTCCTTGGCTGATTGCCACTTCCCAGTTACCTCTCCCAAGACGGAGCGGGCTGCCCACCACTAATCCTTCCACGCTCCCGGTCACTGCAGACCAGTCTCTCGTGATCGACACACCCTCATTTCCTAAAGGAAAGTGAGAAACCACTCACATCCTCCCCTTGCTGTGACCTCATCTCACAGGATCTTCTCCGCAGCCTTTGAAGGAGGCAGGGCAGGGACGGCAGGGGCTCAGAGAGGAGAAGGGACTCGCCGAGCCAGACAGCGACTCACACTCTCAGCCCCGGCCCTGTTGCACCCAGGAATTGGACAGCCTTTCCTAGAGAGGCATCTTGATCTCGGCCCAGTGCCTCCAGGTGACTGCTCCTGCCACGGGAGAACGCTTCTGTATTTCTTCTGCCCTCGGAGACGAGGCTCGTCCAGAAACCAAGATGCCCTCAGACGGGGCAAAGAACATTACAAAGGTTAAAAACCCCGTTTTTAAATTCCATTTGCCGTTTCTGCTTGGAACAATGAATTTTCAGTTTAATTCTGACTTAATTCTAATTCAGTTTTGTAATGAACACCATCTATTTGCTTGACATCAAAGGACGAGGCTCAGCTCGACTTTTCTTGCTTCTCAGGGGAGCAATGGCTGAGGCTGCGGTTTCTGGAGAGAGATGAGTTTTCTCACAGTCTCTCCCCTCTCCACTTCTCCCCCCCATCCTATGTTTCTTCTGGAGCTAATACTAGTAGCTACTCTTAGAGATGTTGTGAAGATAGAGTAGCATCATCTAGCAACCAGACAGAATTAACGCAATGCCAGGCACATAGAAAGCACTCAGGTATTAGTTGCCATTATTACTTTTTTCTTTCCCTCCTTCCCTCTGTTCCTTTCGTCGTCTTCTTTCTTTTCATTTCTTCTTTCTCTGCCTTTCCCCTCTTCAGATTCCCCACACCATGGGATTGCTCTGTCCACAGGAGATGAGGTTTTCCTGTTTCCCCAAGCCTGATGGCCCTGCTACCTGGCTTCCTAGAGCCAGCACCAGGCAGAGGGGTGCCTCTTACACCAAAGTCTCGCCCCACGAGCTGAGCCATGATAATGGGGGCACTGAAAGGCCTAGAGGAGGAGGCAGAAGATGAGCTCAGTCCAGGGCCAGGACAGCAGGAAGAGTGAGAATAAATGTCAACACCCCCAGGCAAGGCAGCGCCCGCTTCAAACCCCAATTCAGACCCCTCTGAATACCAGTGTCCATGGTAAACTGCGTGCGAGAATCGAGGCCTCAGAAAAAGCACTTTATAAAGCACCAGGCCCTTCCAGCCCAAAATTTTAACTTAATGGCAGCAGCATGCCCAGAATCTTTGTTTCTCATATTTTTGAGAAGCTTCGTAAGGGATGTTGGGGGGCGGCACCCTCCCTCTGTCTGACACAGCTACTTTAGTACCCGAGCCTCCTACACCTACATGGAAATATGACTGGGGCCTCAAGTTCCTTTTCTCGGTTTTAGAACCCAATTTTTCTTCCACAAAAAGTTCTTGTGTTCTCCTTTCTCTGTTGTAGCAATTCCCAGTCATTTCCTGTCCAGAAAATACCCAACGATGACCACAAGGTCACTTGGTGCCCTTTCGTAAGGTGACCAGCCTCAGATCCCCGAGTGCCAGTGTGGGGCTCCCTGAGGGCTGTGACCTGGCTCCCGGGGGCAGCCACACTCTCAGCTGTTGGTGGGGCTTTTGCAGGTCAGAGGCTGGGTCTCCTCATGTCCCCTGGCAGCTCCCCCGTCTCCTCACCCTCTGGCAGGCTGTGGGTCTCCCTGCCTCCCCTCCAAGCCTTGTTCCCTCCACCTTGGCCTTTCCAAAGGGCAAACCTAATCACATCACTTCAGCCTGCAGGAAGAAGTCCACATTCTTTAAACTGGCTTACAGTGCCCTTTAGGATCTAGGCCTTGCCCCACCTTTTCTCTTCCCTTCCCCATTCCCCTGGCCAATTCCTGCTTATTCTTCAAGACCCAACCCAGGCATCCCTGCCTCCAGGAAGCCTTCCCTGACTGAACCCCTGCCCACTCCAGTGTGTTTATCAACCTCCCTGCTGGGCTGTAAGCAGCTGAATGCAAGGGAGTCTGTCTTCCTCTCGCTATTTCCAACATGGCCCTGAGTTGGTGCTCAGCTGTTGGCACACTGCTGCAATGTCACTGAACTGAGCCCCACCTTCAGGGGACCCCTCCTGTCCTGTGGCCCCGGCTTTTGCAGGAAGCACCTTTTGGAACAGAGGGGAGCCCCAAGCTGGCCTTGGGTGTGAGGGCCTGGGCCGAAGGCTCTGAGTGCTGTTGGCTGATGTGTCCTCCTCAGCCCAGAGCGCCCTGCCACGCCCTCCGTTTCCTTTCATTGTGCCTCCCTTCCTGTTTAGCTAGACTGTTAGGCTGGGGACACTTTTCCTCCCTTTGAGGACCTGCCTGAATGGAGCTATTTCTCTATGGCATCTCCCTTGACATCTCCCAAATCCCTAATCCACAGTGGGCTCTAGAATCAACAGACTAGAGTTCAAACCCCAGCTCTCCCCAGTTAGCTGTGTGATGAGAGGCAAGGGTCTCACCTCTCGGGACTTCAGTTCCCTCATTTGTAAAAAGAGAACTAATAACACAGCCCTCGTGGCATTGTGAGGGCTTAATGAGTAAGGATGTCCGTGCTCGCGGGAAGTGTGAGCTATGGTTGTGTCACCCCGGCCTATTCATGCGGGGGGTCTGAGAAGAGCCCAGCTGGACGCTCACTGGAAGCCTGCAAGTCCAAACATCCTGTTCTTTTTTGAACTCCTTACTGGAGAAAAGGGGAAAAGCCAGTCTTTTTTTTCTTTTACCCGTATCGGGTGACACAAAAAACACGAGCCCGGCTGGACTGAGCCGCTTGACTCTGATGTTTAGGAGCAAATCTGAGCTGCTGAGCAGGGTGGTGGTTTCTTTCCTGGATTAGGACTGATTCTGTGGGAACTGGACCACCCCTGAGGCGGGAGGGCGACCCTGATGCCTCCTCGGGGCCTGGACCTGTCGCAGAGCCCCTTCCTCCTGGGGAAGGGGGACCCTCTCACGCCTTCCCCACCCCTCCCACCTCCTTCCCCGCAGGTGAACTTCCGCAGCCCCCGGAGTGGCCAGAAGTGGTGGGCTGCGAGGACCCAGGTGGAGAAGCGGCTGGCGTTGCTGGTGGCACTTCTGGCGGCAGGACTGGTAGCCTGCTTGGCAGTGCTGGGCGTCCAGTACCAAACAAGTAGGTACCTCTGTGTTGTGTCGTGGGCTTACCTCGCTCCTGCCCCTGGCCCTGTCCACCTGTGCAAGGGGGCTTCCCTGCTCAGGCCGGGACTGGCTTCCAAGGCCAAGGGGAGAGCTGAGTCTGGAGGGCTCAGGTTGCTGAATAGACTGAGACCTGGCAGGTGGGTGGCATGGGTGGTGTAAAGGTTTTGGAGTGAGATGGAAGTGAGTCCAAATCCTGGCCTGGCCACTTACCACCTGTGTGCCCTTGGACAAGTCACTTAATCTCCCAGAGCCTGTATCTTCTCTACTTTCGGTGGAGAAAACAGCCCCCAGTTTGGGGATGCCTCTGAGGATTAGAGATAATGGGTATCACATACCTGGCCCCCACTAGGACTTCTCTAACCTTAGCTTCGGGTACTATTGTTGTTAGGACGTGGGCTGGTTAGACACACAGGCTGGCACTGTCCGCTGTCCTTAGTTCCAACAAAATAGCAGTAATGGCTTCCGTTTACTGAATACTTTCCATGTACCAGATACCGCACCTCTCCTTTACAGACGTAATCTCATTTCCTCCCCCAGCAGCCCTGTGAGGTGTGGTTACTTTAGACTCCATTTTCCATATGAGGAAACTGAGGCAGTGAGACTAAGTGACTTCCCCGAGATGACGTGGCTCGTGAAGGAGGGAAGGGGGAAGCTGGAATTTTAGCACAGGCTGGCGGGCCCTGAGCCCAGGCCTTGCCTCCCTTTGTAATCCCCGTGCACCCCAGTGTGTGTTGGTAGCCCCAGGAAAGCTGTCCTTCCGTGGTCCAGCTGCCCTTCGTGTGCCTCTGTAATCACATTTCTGTCCGACCTTGTGTAGCAGTATGATCGGACCCCTTTCCCATCCTGCCATCAGGAGTCTGAGGCTGGTTCTCTGTGTCTAGTGGAGTGCCTCACACGGAGTTGATGTTCCATAAACGTTTATGGAGCTGGAAAGGGCAGATCCAAGCTAAAAATGAGGATGGCAAGTCCAGCCACTTCCAGGTCTCTCACTCCCTGTGCCCCAACATCCAGCTTTCTGATGGCAGTAGTCCACCTGGTCGAGCAGCCCCTGGGGGCTTTGCTCAGGGTCCAACCCCACCGACTTGGTCACCTGGTCACTCATTCCGTCAGAGAGATCGTAAGCCTTTACGGGATCTGGAAACATCAACTCAGTGCTTTGGGGCCAGCCCGGTGGCATAGTGGTTAAGTTTGCATGCTCCAGGGGCCGGCCCGATGGCACAGCAGTTATGTGCACGCGCTCTGCTTCGGTGGCCCGGGGTTCGCAGGTTCGGATCCCAGGCGCACACTGATACACCGCTTGGTAAGCCATACTGTGGCAGCGTCCCATAGAAAGTAGAGGAAGACGGGCACGGATCTTAGCCCAGGGCCAATCTTCCTCGAGGAAAAAAGGGGAGGATTGGCATCGGATGTTAGCTCAGGGCTAGTCCTCCTCACCAGAAAAAAAAAAAAAAGTTTGCATGCTCCGCTTCAGTGGCCTGGGTTCACGGGTTTGGATCAGAGGCATGGACCTACACACTGTTCATCAAGCCATGCTGTGGTGGCATCACATATACTAAATAGAGGAAGATTGGTACAGATGTTAGCTCAGGGACTATCTTCCTCAAGCAAAAAGAGGAAGATTGGCAACAGATGTTAGCTCAGGGCCGATCTTCCTCACCAAAAGAAACCAACTCTAGGCTTTGTTGAACCTTCCCCACTGTGAAATTGCTGGCCTGCATGGGTGGCCATGCTGGACTGGGATGGGGAAGGGGATTGGGGGCCTGGAGAGAGGGTGGGACTTCATCTGAGTCATCCTTACATCCCTCCTCTATCAAGCACTCATTCATTCATCCATTCATCCATCCATCCATCCATTCATCCATTCATTCCACAAATATTTAATGAGTGTACTCTATGTCAGGTATCTAGATGTTGTTTAAGAAATAATTACATGATTATTTAACTAAATTTTTTATGGTTTGTATATGTTTTACCAGATGTGCCTAGCCCAGCAGGTGCTTAATGCATATAGTGTAATGTCTGCATGTCATAGGTATGCAAATAGTTTACAAAGTGAATAAATAAATGGCTGAATGGACAAAGGAACAAGAAGGACGACTAAACTGGGGATAACCTTTCTCTATTGATCACCCTTATAGCCGCCTCATTCTAAATCAGCTTCAGTTCAGAACACGCTGCCAGGCAGTGTAGACGCTGACCAGCCTCATCTGCCCAGCTCTTGGCTCTGTGCATGGCAAGCAGGCGAGACTCCAGTAGGCAGTGTCGCCCTGAGAGTGCCCCAGGAGTTCCCAAGATGTTTCTCCACCAGAAACCAGAAGGGACTCCCCAAGGGCTGCTCCTAGTGATCGGGCCCAAAACTCTTCTGCTGTTACTGCCTGGTGGGGCCCACAGGGAGGAATCCTGCTTCTGCCCCTATCCCAGCCCTCTCAGGGCCGCAGAAGGGTTTTCCCCAGCCTGGGCCCAGGTGGAGCTGCGCCTGAAATCAGTGATCTTTGAGCCAACCCACGTGCCTTCATCGGCTGCCTTGGCCTGGGAAAGCAGCGGCCACCCTGGGTATTGACAGTAACCCCATTACTGAGCAGCAGGCGCTGGCACAGCCTCACTTGAGGAAACATCAGGCCAGTCAAAGCAAATTCGCTGATGATTCCAAAAGACCTACCTCTAAGTTACATCTGGACACTTAAATACATATTTATCCATCTTCATGCTGCACCCTCCTTTCCAGAAACTTGCAGGTGTTTTGCAAACAGTGGCAGCAAAACAAACAATAAATTCTCCCAGAAAATATTCTGAAGTGTCTTACTCGGTGTTGAGGCCAGGCACTGTCCAGAACAGGGTCTGGGAACTAGATCTGGGACCTGCTCCTGCCTTCTCAACGGATCATGCACGCCCTAAATTAGGGAAGAAATATTTTCTGCTTCTATAGGTGGTGACCGAGTGCTGGACAAAGCTCTTTCATTCATTTAGTCATTCATTCATTCAGCAAACGTGTATGGAACAGCAGCTGCTAGGTGTCAAGTACAATGCTGGGCAAAGGAAATATAAATGCAAGTAAGATGCTGGCTTTACCCTCAAGCTCACGTTCTAATGGGGGAGGGGGACAGGGAGATGGCCATGACACAGCCTAGTTTGTGCTGGGACAGTGAACACCCAGACAACCAATCAAGGGACCCAGAGAGGGGCGAGGGTCTGGGAAGGTTTCCCTAAGGAGATGGAGCCTGAGCCGAGTTTTGAAGGTGTTGACCTTGATGTGAGAGGAGGGGGGCCTGGAAACTATTAACTGATCAAATATGCATTAAGCACCTGCTGGGCCAGGAACAGTTGGTAAAGGATCTACAAACCATTAAATAGTTAGTTAAATAATCAAGCAGTTATTGCTTAAGCACCACCTAGGGACCTTGCCCTGTGCCCAGCAGAGAGGGTGCTTAGTGAGGAAGTCAGCCTCTCAGACTAATTCCTGGGGACTGGTTTCTTATTTTGTTTTTGAAGATTTTATTTATTTTTATTTTTTCCCCCCAAAGCCCCAGTGGATAGTTGTATGTCGTAGCTGCACATCCTTCTAGTTGCTGTATGTGGGACTCGGCCTCAGGATGAACGGAGAAGCGGTGCCTTGATGCGCACCCGGGATCCGAACCCGGGCCACCAGCATCGCAGCGCGCGCACTTAACCACCAAGCCACAGGGCCGGCCCTCTTATTTTGTTTTTAAACCCAGGTCCCCTTATGATAACTATAAAATCTTAATCTCTCTCTCTCTCTCTCTCACACGCGCATGCATGCACAGATCCTGAGGTATCTCCCTCCCTAGGATCACCCTCTTAGTCTGTCTTCTGAGCATTCCTGCCAGCCAAGATTTTATCAAGCTTTACTTCCTGTAGTTTGTTGTATAAAAACAATAGGTATTCTTTTCCTTTTCCAAATACGAAGTTGTATCATAATAGTGAATAGGCTTTTTCAAACTGCACAGAAATTCTCTTCACTCACCCCCACCCCCCATAAAGATTCTAGTACATTCCCCTGGGTGGGGAGTCGGGCATGCAACTCTGATCGAGATGATCTGATCTAGAGATATGTTAAATGGCACCATATTCCCTACCATTTCCTTTCTCTATTTTCATGCCTAATGGTTCAGTAATTTTTAATTGCTGTATAGTCAGCTTAAAACAAGTAATTACCGCAAAATAAAGTCACCCTGATTTTTGTGCTGTTGTGCGGCTCCTCTGACCCCTTTGTCAGCCTGTAGGACGTTGTGTTTGTCATCAGATGTTAATAAGCCCCTGGGCCACCCCAGCACTATGTTTCCCAGTGAGATGAAGACTGCCCCTGCCAGCCCGTGCATCTTTTTCTGCTCTCTGAAGATTGGCCTGGGAACATTGGACCCTAAGACTCGAGGGAGCCGAGCTCCCATGCCCAGCCATGAGATCATTTCATCACACTGTGAAATTCGTCCTTCTGTTCTTCCTCATTTCTAGATAGAGAAACTGAGGCTCGGAGACATGAAGTCGCTTACACGAGCCCACAGCCAGTAGCGGAAAGCTGGGATTTGAACCCAGGTACATTGCCTGCTCTGCCTCACTCCTCCCTGTGCAATGGGGAAACCGAACTCACCAGAAGGGCTGCAGTAGCCCCAGCGTGACCACAAAGAGGTGGCGAGGGAAAGCAGGAGAACCCGGCCGAGGAGGTGCTGAGGCAGGACAGAGCTGGCTTCAGTCTCCGCTGTCCTGCGCAGCCGGGCGACCTGGTTCCGCTCACTCGCTCAGAGCCTCAGTTTCCTCCTCTTTAAGCGAGGGTGTCACACCTGTATCTTGTGCCCGCAGTGAGGCCTAAATGAGATCACGAGTGTGACGTGCCTGGCGCAGAGCCGTGTTCAGTAAACGGTCCCTCTCGTTGCCAGTGGAGCTTGTGTCAGCCGACGGTTCAGCTACGTCTGTGTTCTTAGTCACGAGCCTGGACATCCGGCCTCCGTCCTGTGAGAACCGGTTCAGGGGAAGCTAATTTCTCTGCTCGTTGTGTTTTGGGGCACTTGTAGGATTTGTAGGACGTGTAGGATTTGGCAACCCTCCCCATTGCCCACCTGCACCGTCCCTCAGGTGGGGCTGTTCCACCCCCTGGCAGTGTGGGGCCAACGTTGCTGGAAGGGCTCCCTTGCAGGCCCACAGCAGGCAGAGCAGAGAGAGGGTGAGATTCAAATCCCATTGGCCTTGAACAAGGTACTTAGCCTCTCTGTGCCTCAGTTTCCTCATATACAAAAATGACCTTAAGCAAAATGATCTTAGGTTTGTTTCATTTTTGTTTCTTTGGAAGATTCAGTGAGGTGACTCTTCTGCATTGTACTCAGTGGGGATGATTTTTCATAATTCCTTCATTCGTAATAGTCTTCCCTTCTTCCTAAGTCCTGGCACCGTACTGTCTGCATCACCCATTTGTGTGGACTAAGTATACTCAGTTTATGTTTGTAGAGTCAATGACAGGCATTTCTCCTACTGTTGTCTTTTGACTTTTCTTATATAATGTGTGTATCCCCAACTAAGTTATTAGCTCTTGAGGGAAAGGACCCTGCCTTTTGTATACCCCACCACACACACCCCCTACAGTCAGCAAAGAACCTGGAAGGTACTCAGTAATTATTTTGTTGAGTAAGTGAGTGCATGAATGAGTGAACAAATTTGTTCAACATCAGGGAATAAAAAAAAAATCAATGAAAGTTTATGGGAGGAAGGACTGATTAAGAGAAACACGTCGGTTCTGGGTGCTTTTTAAGCCATAGAAAGCATTTTAGGCATCTAAATAGAAGTCTTATTTTATAAGCCAGGAGATCGTAAATGTACTGAAATCATTTCTCTGTAGGGGTCTAGTGACCATCCAGTTCTAAATCTGTTTGGTCAGGGAGGGGCTGGGGCATGGCACCCCAGGGCCCCAGGCCACCTGCGCTGTGTTCCCACAGACTTCTCCCTGCCCGCCCTTCACTGGCGTCTTATCCTTGACCCCTGCCAGGAACCCCCCCGGTATGCCTAAGTGAGGCCTGCATCTCAGTGACCAGCTCCATCTTGAGTTCCATGGACCCCACAGTGGACCCCTGCCAGGACTTCTTCACTTACGCCTGTGGCGGCTGGATCAAAGCCAACCCCGTGCCTGACGGCCACTCACGCTGGGGGACCTTCAGCAACCTCTGGGAGCACAACCAGGCCATCATCAAGCACCTTCTCGGTAAGCACCCAGGGGGGACCAATGAGTGGGCCGCAGAGGAGGGCTGTTGGCTGGACCTACCCTGGTGAAAGGAAGAGCTGGGCAGGGCTTCGGAGTAGGTGAAACCACCTCCTGTGGAGTAGGTTAGACCGCCTGCCCCAACACTCGGGTGCAATCCTGAGTAACTTACTTATCTCTGAGCCTCAGTTTCTTCATCTGTAAAGTGAGACTGATAATACCCAAACGGCAGGGTTTTGAGAACTAGAGAGCACACGTGTGAAGCATCAGCATGGTGTGTGTGGCACGTAGTAGGTGCACCAGGACTGGTAGTGGCAATTGTGGCTTTGTGGCTTCAAGCTGAGGCTTGGTTTTTTTGTGTGTGTGTGAGGAAGATCAGCCCTGAGCTAAGATCCATGCTAATCCTCCTCTTTTTGCTGAGGAAGACCGGCTCTGAGCTAACATCTATTGCCAATCCTCCTCCTTTTTTTTTTTTTCCCCCAAAGCCCCAGTAGATAGTTGTATGTCATAGTTGCACATCCTTCTAGTTGCTGTATGTGGGACGCGGCCTCAGCATGGCCGGAGAAGTGGTGCGTTGGTGCGCGCCCAGGATCCGAACCGGGGCCGCCAGTAGCGGAGTGCGCGCACTTAACCGCTAAGCCACAGGGCCGGCCCATGAGGCTTGGTTTTGACTAGTGCTGACTGTGAGTTTTACACATTGTGAGCAAAAGGAATCGAGACTGAGCACACCAGATCAGATTTCAAGGTTGTGAGCAGACAAAAGTTATAGCAGCAGTTTATTTGAGAGTTAATAAGTGTAGGCAGGTGTCTTCCTCAGCCTCGTGGTCGTCAGGCTGGCATGGTAAGCCGTCTACCCAGAGTTCTTCTCTTTGCACTTGTTAGGCCTCTGGCTCCTCGAGTTGACCTCAGTGGTGGTGGTTTTGTCCATAGATTAGAATTCCACATCTGCCTGTTTGCAGCTGTATCCCCAGTTACTGTTTGTTGAACTAATATCTGCCCATTGGGGTCCTCCTCCACGCGAAGTCACAACCCCCCGTACTGTCACATACAGAGGTCCTGACTTAAACCCCTTGGCAGCCAGGACCTTCCCCATCTCCCTCTCCTGCTGACTCCTGCCCCATCCTGGGCCCCTACATGCTGGCAGAGGCTAGATCATGAAGAGCCAGTCAATGAATCCATCCATGACAGAACTTAGAGTCAACAAATACTCAAGTTTCTAAAAAAACCTTCAAGATACTCAAAAGTAGGTCAAATAGAAGACACCTAAAAGGGGACAGATCTTCTCAAAGGGACAGAAACTTTCCTATGAGATAGGAAAAGATTCTAAGTGGACAATTATGAGTTTAAGCCAACTTTGTCTTTAGATGAAAGTAGAAATAAGCAAACCAGGGTAAGGAGACCTTTCCTTTCTTTCCCACCCAGTCCCAGGGGGCACAGCTGGGCTAGGTGAAACCCATCTACTGTTTCTCCTTGGTCCTCAGCAGCTCCTGGGCCGGCCCCGCGGCAGCCGCCTGGGCCGCACAGCATCCTGCTTGTCTCCCTGAGGGTCAGAGCAGGGGGTTGGGGGGACGTGAGGCTGCACAACTCCGGGTGTCAGGAACAGCAAAGCCCCTGCCTGCTTTGTGCTTCCCAAGTGCCTTTGAAAGGGGACACATTCTTTCACTTCTGAACCAGAAGCTTAAAAGGCAAATATAGGGGCCTGCCCGGTGGCGCAGTGATTAAGTTTGCATGTTCCGCTTCGGCAGCCTGGGGTTTCCTGGTTCAGATCCTGGGCGTGGACCTACTCACCACTCATCAAGCCATTCTGAGGAGGCATCCCACATAGAAGAGCTACAACTCTACAACTATGATACACAACTATGCACTGGGGCTTTGGGGAAGAAAAAAAAAGGCAAATATATCTGTGGTAGTGAGACTGGAACTCAAGGATGTCCCTTCCCCAGTGCTGGGGGCTTGGCAGGGACCATTAACCAAAGCAGGAGAATACTCCAGGAAGAATAAAAGATGGGCTAGTGCCTCTGCCTCAGTCACCAGGACCTGGGTTCAAATCCTGGCTTTGCCACTGACCGTGTGATCTTGGGTCAATTACATAACCTCTCTGGGCTGCTTCTCTCATCAGTACAGTGGGAACCACGCCTTCTCCAGGTTGTGAAAATTAAATGGGAACGTACATGTAAAGTGCTCTGCCTAGGCCTGGCCTGTTGTGGTGGCTGCTGTTTATGTTGGTGTTATTCACCATTGACCTTTGGACAACACTGCACAGTTTACAGAGCTCTTTTATAGCTGTCATCCCCTTTGATCCTGTAGGTTAGGAGCTAGGAAGGGGTTGTTCACCACATTGGATAGATGAAGAAACTGAAGTCCAGAGGGATCCTCAAGACAGGCTGGTAGGTGACAGAGCTGGGACTTGCCTGACTTCTGGTCACGTGTCCTTTCCCCTGTCCCACACCCTCCTTCAGGTACAAGGGGTGGGTATGGCTCCCTTCCCACTTTGTTGGAGAGAGCCAGCAGGAAGTGCAGAACATCAAGGATCTGAAGGAAAGAGGGAAAGAGACTGATGTTTGTTGAGTGTCTGCTATGTACTGTGCACCGTGCCAGGCTCGTTGTATCTACTGCCTCCTTAATCCTCCCAGCTACGACTTAGGAATTGTTGTACCCATTTTATAGATGAAGGAACTGAGGCTCAGAGAAGTTAGTTATGTAACTTTGTCAAGGACACACCACAAGTCTGGAATGGAGAGGGCCTCCACCCCTAGGGAGCCATTAGCACCGAGAGGGGACAGGGGAGGAAAGGTGGACAGGCACTCTTATTTCCCGGGTAAGCCCAGAACTGGCCCTTGGATATTGTGCCCATGGATCCTGATCCTGCTGGTTCTTATCAGGAGGGCTGGGGTCTATGCCAAGACTGAGTCCATCCCCCTACCCCACACCCCAGGAGGGCAGGGCCCCAGTCCTTGGCTCTGGCTTTACATCCACCCTGTCCCTGACAGTCAAGGGGTGGGTGGGGAGCTGCACTGAGCTGGGCACAGACCAGCCAGACCCATGGGTTTAAGTCCCTGACCCAGGGGCCAGGGTCTGGTGGTGTCAGGAGGCCAGACTGCAGGGTTTTGAAGTCAGGCAGCCTGGCATGCTGGCTTATCACCCGTGTGGCCTTGGACAAGTGACCTGGCTCCTCCCCAGCTTAGTTTCTTCCTACGTAAAATGGGGGCAATGGTGCCTCCTAACACACAAGGTCACTGTGAGTATTGACTTCTATGTGATGGGTCAGGGTACTTAGCACAGAGCCTGGGACCTGGTACATGCAGCGAAGCAGAGCTACCCTTCTCAGTGGTCTTAGGAGAGTTCCAGCCTGGCCCCCTCCCTAACACGCTGTGTGACTGCAGAGAGGCCGCTCAGCCTCTCAGGGCCTCAGCTCTTCACCTGTAAAGTGGGAACTAACTCAGAGCATCAGAAGGGATGTTCTAAGCGTTAATTGGGTGGTCGAAGAAAGGGTGACTGTTACTTATTTTATGTCTTATGGAAGCACTGACGTGGACCCAGTTATGAGGGAAGGAGACACAGGGCGTATCCGTGACCATGCTGGGTTGTTTACTTGTATTATTTTCTTTAAACCATGGAGTAGGCTGTATATGCCCGTTTTACAAAAGAGACTCATAAGTACAAAGAAAATGTATTTCCTGGGAAATGGTGGAGGTGGAATTCAGCCCCAGAGCTGTGGGGCCTCAGACCGGCATTCTTTATCTACTGACTCCGCTGAGTCAGATTCACCACACGGAGGTCACGGAGCGCCCAGCAGTGTGGTTGGCCAGCCTCCTTCCTCCGTGGCTGCTTGCCCGAGCTCTCCAGGCCAGGACAGACCTGCCAGGCCTGATGAGCGCAGAAGCTGGGGTCACCCTCACGTCATGCTGACCAGGAGCTTCCCCAAGGAGGCATGTCCTGGCGTTCCCTCCCTCCAGGCTCACTCCTGGGAACTAGTCTGGAAACGGCCCCTCCCCTGTGGGCCTTGATACCTGGGGCTCTGATACCTGGAAACCCCTGCAGGGCAGGAAGCAGGTGAGTGGGTGACTGAGAAATGCAGGAGCGTGGGCCAGTGCATTGCTGGGCATACAAAGGGGTCAGCCAGCAGGCCTCAGGAGGGAGCTGGGGCTGACGGGGACTGGGATATGCCGAGAGGTGCCTGGGCTGTCCATGCTCGCCTGGGAGCGGGCTCTCTAGGTGGAGGAAGAAGGAACATTCAGAGGGCCAGGGGGGATTGTCAGCTGGCCAGACAGAACAGCTGTTACCGCCAGCCTGCCGTGTGACTTGGGCGAGACGCTTTTTTCTCTGAACAGTGAGTTCACTCTCGCCCCCTCAGGAAGTCCAGGCAGATCTGTAGCAGGTGGATTGAACTAGGACGCATGAGACAGATGGCTCACCCGGGTCACCAGCTGGGGCTGTCCTCGTAGGCTTTGCGGAGATAGGAGTGTGGTCCCACTTCCTCAGGGGAAGGATGCAGCGGGACCTGGCTCCCCTTCAGCCTGGGCCTCGCCTTAGGTTTTCCTCCCCTTGCTTTTAGCGCAGAATATTCTGCCATCTAGAGTACCTACCTCACCCCCTCCCAATCCCACAAGACTTGTCTCAAACCTGCTTCCGTTATGCCTTCTGTGGCGACCAAAGGGCCTCTCCGGGGTTGAGCTACAATTACATCTTGTGTACCTGTCGTATTTACTATATTTCATATTGTAATGGTAATGTATTCAGAAAAATGAATGCCTGCTTGTTAAAACCATTCGAGCAACACAGAGTCCATAAAGAAAAAGTTAGCGGTCTCCCTTCCTTCTACCCCGACACCGGTCTCCCTGAGAAATACAGACAGAATCCTTTCCATAGCGTTAAATTTGTCCATGTCAGTGACTTAGCAATTAATCGTGTCATCTCTTCTATTTTTATTTTGATTTGTTTTTCCAATATTTACTGTCTAATTTAGTTGCATCTTCCTGCGCATATTGGAAACTATGGGCGAC